GATGGCAGCAATAATGTAAAATCAGATTTATATTTAGGTCATTGAGATGGTGTGAGAGTATGAATGTGTCAGCTGATCCTAGGTAGCTTTGATTCTGATTTGTGTGTCTCTCAGAGTGAATCTGCAGGAGGTGGCTGTGTAAAATCTGTGTAAATGACAGGAGAATCCTAATGAATTACTACTGACCAGAGCTAAAAGCTGATGATAAACTGCTTAGCCCAAGAAGACTTAATATGTTGATGTGGTTCTCTCCATCATGTCACTTTTGCTCTTCCCTCTCCCTCCCTTCTCTGTATTTCTGTGGAAATAATTAATTATGGCTTGTTGATTTTTGGTGTCTGAGAAAATACCAACTAAAGCTTTTCCTTTGGCTGGGGCATTTTAAGGCTGTGCCTGGTACAGATTCTCCAGTGTCTAATAAGATGTGCTATAATGCTGCAGCTTTTCTCTTAGTGAGGAATTAATAGGGTCTCTCTCTCCTATCCTACTGCCTCTTTTCATTAAACATTTAGGAACAAAGCAGTCGTTGGATCTCCTGCCACTCTAACAAGTGGGACAGGCATTGACAAATGGCTAAAGAAGTCAGGAAAGTAGAGAGACACAATGGCTTTGCTTCTAGAGCAAGTCTGTTTCCTCCCTAGCCATCATAATTCTAGAGGGGTGCAAGAACGTCCTAAAAAGGAAATAATTGAAGAAGACATGGAGAAAATAATACAAATACTAACTTGTTCTATACATTATGGTTCTTAACGATTCAGTGGGTCCATCTACAGTAGTATTTTTATTCTGGTCAAGCGAGCAGTTTCAAAGCAAATCTCCTGATCTCCCCACTAAAGACACTGCTTGGCAATCTTAAAGTGCATGAACTGAATTACTCTCAGCAGAAAGTAAGCCAAGAGATGTGCTTCAGGAGTGCACCTAACACTTTTCAGATGATAATGGCAGTTCAATCCAGGGCACCCCCCTGGAGTTACTTCATGGTATAGAATCATAGAATCATTAAGGTTGGAAAAGACCTCTAAGATCATTGAGTCCAATAGTCAACCCAACACCACCATGCCCACTGAACCGTGTCCCTAAGCGCCTCATCTACACGTCTTTTAAATACTTCCAGGGATGGGGACTCAACCACTTCCCTGGGCAGCCTGTTCCAATGTTTCACCACTCTTTCAGTAAAGAAATTTTTGGTAAAACCCTTGCAGCTTGTCTGGATGTGGTCATCAGGTGCACGGCACCAGCTGCTTTGCTCTTCAGATCTGCTCCTGTTGTACCACACATCTTCCTAATGCAGACATGGCCAATGTATTCCAGGGATCAGGAAACATCAGTCTCCACAAGGCCTCCTTACCACTGCTCATGACACACGATATTTTTCCCCAGTATGCCAAGGATCTTCAATCATTTGTTGTGTTCAGACTTTATGTGCATAGCTTCCTTTTAGGAATACACCTGACAGATAACCATTTCTCGTAACAGTCCTAATAGATTTCTACAGGAAAATAAAAAGGTCGTCTTCCCCTCTGGAGCTCATCACTCGGAGCTTCCCTGCACTCTCTTCCAAAGCCCCTAACTCTGGGGGTTTTCCAGTCTGGGATTCTTCTAGACAGACACAGGGGCAGCTGGTTGACCACCTCATCATTCCAGTGGTGCTCCTCACTGTGAGGGTGTCTGTGATCTCCGTTCATCTGCATCTAACCTATAAGCAGGAGCCCTCTCATCCCTAGCCGGTAAGGATCAGACAAGGGGACAGCTGATAAGCAGCTACATGGACAAGATGGGGTCTGAGACTGTTTCTAGGGCCAGGCACCCTGTGAGAAACAGGTTCTTCCTGACGGTAATTTCTTGGCAGTTTTGTTGAGGCAATCTGCCATATCCTCTGTGGAGTGTGCTGTGTCACGTATCGTCTGAAGTTCCAAGAGTCATTTTGTACAAAGCAATGGTGGATGTGATATGCAGGGTAATGCACTGTGACTAATGCAACATTATAGGTAATTACTGGTTTGGGCTAATCAGAGAATAGAGATTTAACTTCTTGTTTGTTATCTGTTCATCCACTGACTGCTATAGATCAACTATAAATTTTGGGTCCAGTGATACCTTGTAAGAGTTTTTTTCCCCACATTTTGTAGAATGCATTTTACTTGAATTTTGGTTAGGGATCAAGTAAAAACATCAAGTTCTAGCCCTCACTTACAATTTTTGTGGATTGTTCTTCCCAGGTGTCCTGTTTTCTGCTGTTATCCAGATAAATACATAATCAGTCATTAGACAGAGTCTTTTCTTTGGCTGGGGCTTTAGCCTTGAAACTATAGCAGTTTTGGTAGATGAGTTTGCACCTGTGTTGAAATCCATTACTTCCTTTGAGACTTTTTTTTATTAAAGTACAAAGAAAGCCTCAGATGAAGTCACAAACCACATCCATGCAGCCATTGTCAAGTTTGGTGGACCTCTGGACAGCTAGAGAGGCTAAACCTTTTGAAAAAGTTAAGTCAGGACATCAGAATTTAAAAACTGCCAGAAATTATATTTTCACCTTGTTCTTTGACTGTGAAAAAAGCCCATTTATGTAAACTTCAGTACACACTTCTACAGTTAATCTCAGTGTAAAGTTTAGTATCTTTGGATTCCAGCAGGTTCCATGAAGTTCTTGACCAGTCTTGTGGAGTTTGCACTAACAGTTGTGGTTCAAGGAACTTAAGTTTTTGTGGAAAAAAAACCCCAACCAATGAACAAGTGCACAAAATGAGCTGTGGCCCCAGTGAAAATATACGGCTCAAAGATTGCTGTCTTAGATTGTGAAAGAAAATGTATGGTAGCCAATGCCAGCTGTAAAACATACAAGAATCTGGCTTCAAGGAGTGACTGTCAGGAAAAATCAGAAGTCTTTTTAAAATAATATATTTGGGCTCATTGTACTAAAGTTTTTGTATTCTTGTTTTTCTCTGCAACCATGACTTTATAGTTCTTTTTAATGTGAAAGCTTAATTTCTGAGTTAATTCTGTAATACTAAGAGTTGTGATAACAAGAAAAGTTCCAAATAACAGAAGTCTTACAGTAAAAATTGTGATAGTAACATCAAAAAATGGCAGCAGACATTCTTAAAATGCAGCACTTTTGGTTATCAGTGGTGTAGTTTGTGGGCACATGTAATAAGCCCCACCAAGCTTTCCTCATCCTGAAGAGAGTCTATTTTTATCTCTGTTGTGATCTTACAGCCTCCTTTTCTTGCCCCTCCTTGGGATGAATTATTAATCACAACATCACTGAGTGTGAACCCAAGGGTACTGAAGAATTTATAATTGGTGTCTTCCCCCCCCCCCAACTTAGATATGAAGCTTACGCTGTCATCTTCACAAACTGGCCATTGCTTCATGACAATTAGCAAATATTAAGCAAGGAAAGGATGTCATTTATGACAGCAGTAATATAATACTAATGTGTTATGCTAGTTATATTGGAGAAGACCATGAAACACAGGGTCCTTTCTCTTCCAGATAGATAGGATAGCAAGGGCCAAGGCTTGAATGGTGTAAATGCAGCCAGTGTTTTGTGGCTAAGGTACAGGGGTCGGCACTTGTCAGAAAAAAAGGTGAAGAGAGAGAAATTAGTGTTTGATGGTGGTTTGCTTCTGCATCCAAAGAAGACAGTCTCATCTTTAAAAAACACAAGAACCTGCATGTTTTCAAAAGTGATTGGTGACTTTTGAGAATGAGTTTATAAGTATTTGAGTTCTCAAACCTAGGTGTTTTGCTGGGATCCATTTTTCAAAGGGCCAGAGGCCAGTGTGTTCTGCAAACAAGGATTCCTTTGCACTTTTCAGTGTGGATGGCCTAAGCCCGAGGCATCCGCAGTCAGGGATTGCCTTAGAAAAATCTTGTCCATTAAGGATTAAACTAGATGAAAGCAACAGCAGGAGCAAGTGCTTAGATAATGGAAAACTGATTTATGTAAAATTATCGCTATTTTACAACCTGTCTCCAAACCCATTTCACTGAGTTCACTTTTGATCTCAAACGGCAGTTGTTTCCAAATGGCAAAACCTTTGAGCTCTGCCACAGGACGCTTCTGGTCTTAAAGGCTTAATTGTGTTTCCAAGATGCTGGTGTTTTGATGCATCAGAACATTCTCCTAGAAGAAGCATTTGGGAACTGTGATCATGGACCAGGGGCTGGTCCCAGGGCAGTCTCGTGTATCCCCAAACGCGACGTGGTTGGCAGGTGATGGAATCAGAACACAATTTGGTGTTTATAAATTGTATGGAATATCCCAGCATTTGTACGTCTGAGAGGCACAGCTGTTCAAGGAAAAAAGGACATTTCTTTTGGTTGATTCCAACAGACCTTGGTCCATGCATCCATACTTGCTGCTCAGGTGCTGATAATTACTCTGGAAAATGTCACTGTGTTTCTTGTGCAAGAGAATAACTGTCAGGCTTGGTTCCACCTGATATTATGGAAACAAATGTCCATGCAGGTTCTGATTTGCTTCAGAGTTGTACCACAAGACAAAACATTAATAACCTAGGAAGGTGCAGATCATTAACCTACGTTTTACTTTCCACTTATGAACAGTTCAGTCTTTACCTGTGTGTGTGCATGCTCTACCCCACAGAGAGGAAAAAACATAATCTGTGCAATTACATTTAGATCAATAATCATTGGTAGGACAGAGTTCGTTACAATCCTGCAGGTGTATTGTCCTTACCATCGGAGAGCCTTGTTTAGAGTATTTGGATGCTAGCATGGCATGAATAAATGAAATTCCTGCGTTCCCCAAGCCTGATTCTGCAGCATTATACAGTACCTGTAGGGTGCTTTCACCTGCCTGCTTTGAGGCCAAGCTCTTGGGGTTCTTTTGCAGGCCTATGCCTTGAAGTTCAAGGACTGTTTCTGTCCTGTGAAAAATCCAGAGACTTACAGAAGTTGATAAGCCGCTAGCAGCTGTGTGGTGGTGTGGCCTGGCCACCAGCTTCATGTTCTGTGCTCTTCCTTTATTGCAGCAATTCAGCTTTGTCTCCCTGCCCACGGATGTCCTGGAAATAGAAGTTAAAGACAAATTTGCAAAGAGCCGACCGATAATCAAGCGTTTCCTGGGAAAACTCTCTATGCCGGTTCAACGCCTCTTGGAAAGACATGCCATAGGGTAAATCTGCTGCTTATGCTACTTCCTGTTGTTTAACAAGTGTATTGCTGTTTTGAAGTCCCTGGTGATATATCATTACAGTGATATAATGATGTTGAGGGGGAGTTATTAAACTGACAGTCGTCTGATGAATGATGTTGGTCTTAATTAGAATTTATAGGACTGCGGGCCAGACAAAGAATTTCCTCTATAACCCTATCCATTGCATTTTGAAAAGTGAGAGCTGGCATTTAGGAAAGAAAACTGTTTTGTGTATCATGGCTGCGAATCTGGAGAGTGCAATATTTTCAATTTGAGTGTTCTTTTAATGTTATCAACAGGCTGTTTTCATGTTTCAGGGAATTACCTATGGGCTAAAATCATGCCAGATCTGTTCCTCCTCCCTTTAATTTCTGGACAGTGGAAATATTATAAAAAAACACATGGCATGTTGTAACTAAATCTTTCTGACCCTACCCTGCTGTCAAGGAATAACCAGTTCACTTGAGCTCACCAGCCCTGCCCTGCTTCCCCTTTGCATGAAAGTCCCGGGAAGGTATATGCTTCAAAGTAACACAAACCAATTTGAGGAAGATGGATAGTATTCAGATAAAGCCCAAAAGTTGGCTCTAAACTTTAGGGTTCAGACCTTGAGGAGCAGGGAGAGAAAGAGTCATTTCCTGAGGAGGGCATACGCAATGCAGTTTCCAAGAAGGCATTTCTGAAAATTGGATCTCAACTCAGCGGAACAGCAGGAAGCTGAGCTTGTTGGAAGTGGTTTTGAACAGCTGGTTCAGAAACTGGCTGTGGTATTGACAGCTGAATCTACCAGAAGGGACTAAGCTACCTCCCTGTTTCTCAAGTAGGGAAGATTGAGTAGCTTTTTAGAAACCAGATGGAAAAGAACAGCTTGGGGAAGGTAGAGCCCTATAACTGATATCATTGGCTTCCCTCTGTATGAGAAGATTTCTCACCATCTTCTGATTGTATCTTCCTATTTTACTTCCTTATTGTAAACACTGTCTATCTAAGAATATACATTGCCAAGAGCAGTGCCTCCAACCTACACCTAGGTCTGCCTTAGTTTTTATACCATAGTGGCTTTTAAATCTCAGGCAAGCTCAACGAGAAGTATACACACAAGCTCAGAAAGATCAAACATGAACCTTGAGATTGTCTCATTTATATGAGTTTCTGATGCATGTGAAACTATCCTAGCAAATATATTGGGCCCAGCTGAAGTGAACTATGTTTCTTCAAAAGATGTATAAATATTACTATTTAGTGAACGCTTTACACTCAAAAAATGCTTTGCAAACATTGCTCCAGCCTCATTTTGGGCAGCTGGGAAGTTAATCTCTTCTATAGTTTCATTCTGTTCTGAGGGGTGGATGAAGTGTGGCAAAGGGAGGGACCTGCACAAGGACAGGATGGAGTCATTGATCAACCTTGTCAGGAAGGTGTTCTTCTGATATTTCAGCTTCATAGAGGTAAGAGGGGTGGAAAGAGATGAAGAGCAGTCATTCAGCCAGTTTGAAAAGAGAAGGTGGTAAGCGGGGACTGGCCTGTACAGGATTTTGAAAGAAAGGACAGGAAAGGTGAATTTTATGCAGATGGTGAAGGGAAGGAAATACAGAAATGCGAGGTTCTACAAGAGGGTAGATATGGTCAGATCAGCAGGGACGTGAAGTCTTGTTACAAGAGCTGAAGTGGGAGTTGTTTGCTTCCCATGTTGATATTTTCATACCCATACTGCAGAAGTTCCATTCCCACCGTTCTCTCTCTATATATACATATGTGCTTGTGTATCCCAGAAGCCTGTCTTAATCACTGACTCAGCTGTTCCATTGTAATTGAAGACATTGTCCTCTCCTCTGCCATTCGTTCTCTCGTATGCAAGTCAACATGCCCTCATGGCTGGGTTGAATAGCCTTTGAAAACCATTATGTATTTTTGTAGGACACAGCAGTTTTATGCACGGTAGACATTGGGTAGGTTATAGTCTATAGTGACGATATTTGTTTTCTTTCAGGGACAGGGTTGTAAGCTACACTCTGGGTCGCAGGCTTCCTACAGATCATGTCAGTGGCCAGCTGCAGTTCCGATTTGAGATAACTTCATCCATCCATCCAGGTAATTCTCAGTCTTAACCCATCATTTATCTGGGTCTTTTTTTTTTCTTTTTTTTTTTTTGCTTTACATTCTTTCTCCTCAGAAACCTGAATTCATTCCTGGCTGCTCTGGGAATTTAGGTACAGTCATGAGCAAAGGAAAGTGCATAAAGTCCCCCGTCACAGGATGCATCGTGAGTCACAACTTATTCCCTGTTTCCCCTTAGCTTAGAGCTACTGGTGTCTCATATCCCCCTGTTCTTGGCTGCTTCAAATATTTTGCCACATCACAGGGAGAGAAGAGGGTAGAAAACTAAAGTCTCATCTGCTTCTCTATCACCTGTCCTGGGGAAGTGCTAGATGGGCTGTTATAGGATCATAGAATGGTTTGGGTTGGAAAGGACCTTAAAGATCATCTAGTTCCAACCCACCTGCCGTGGGCAGGGACACCTTCCACTAGACCAGGTTGCTCAGAGCCCCATCCAACCTGGCCTTGAACACTCCAGGGATGGGGCATCCACAACTTCTCTGGGTAACCTGTTTCAGTGCCTCACCACCTTCATAGTGAAGAATCTCTTCTTTATATCTAATCTAAATCTACCCTCTTTCAGTTTAAAGCTGTTACCCTTTGTCCTATCACTACACACCCTTGTAAAACGTCCCTGTCCAGCTTTCTTGTTAGGCCCCTTTCCGGTACTGGAAGGCTGCTATAAGGTCTCCCTGCAGCCTTCTCTTTTCCAGGCTGAACAACCCCAAGTCTCTCAGCCTGTCTTCATGGGAGAGGTTCTCCAGCCCTATGATCATTTTCGTGGCCCTTCTCTGGACTTGCTCCAACAGGTCCACGTCCTTCTTATGTTGGGGGCCCCAGAGCTGGACGCAGTACTCCAGGTGAGGTCTCACAAGAGCGGAGTAGAGGGGGGAGAATCACCTCCCTCGACCTGCTGGCCACGCTTCTTTTGATGCAGCCCAGGATACAGCTGGCTTTCTGGGCTGCAAGCACATATTGCTGGCTCATGTTGAGCTTCTCATCAACCAACACCCCCAAGTCCTTCTCCTCAGGGCTGCTC